TTTATCACATATCTCTCTTTCCCCACTGGGTGGCCAGCCCCAGGGGACACCTCTGACACAGGAGTGATTCCCTAGAGGATCGGATGGATTTGAGTTGGATCATAAGGATTTCAGGTGCATAAACATGGCCAAATGGGAATCAGAATGGATCGGAAAGGTCAAGAGCTAGAAAGCACACTTCACAAGTTGCCCAGCCCTGCTGGCAGGGGACTAGATGGAGGTGTTTCTCACGTGCCTGTGTTATCCTTTACAAAAATGACATAGCCAGTTGTTTACTGGCAAAATTAATTTATTTGGGAATAGCAGAGAATTGCAATTTAGGACAAACTATGACAAAGTCCGGAGAACAAAGGAGAGGAGCATTCTGACATAGAGAACGGGGAGAATGAAAGTGCTAAGCCTGAAGTTAGCTCCACGCCAGCTCCACCGTCCTGAGAGCATATGATCTTCCCTTCCTGGAAGGGGCTGTTGCGAACAAAATGTCCATTGGAAGAAACCTGAAATTTGAAGTGTAGTGACTTTCCACTGGCTGTGTCTGTTGCTAGGCTAGGAGAAAATCTTTCTTCCTTCTGCTGGAGTAGTAAGGTAAGTTTCTTCCTGTCAAGATGCATAAAGGTAAGTTGCATCTGTCTGGAATCTGTAAGGTGCAGTAAGTGGTAGTGAGTGAGAGCTCCCCCTTCAGGGCTATTTGACTGCATTTTTAATGACATTTCTTTGTCCATTTCCACACCTGGTTGGTACCAGGCAATGTCTCTCTACTTTGGCTGCTGCTCAAGCCCAATGCAGACAAATTAAATTAAAATCTCTGGAGTGGGGCTCAAGCAGGGGTATTTTTCCAAGCTTCCAGGAAATTTCAGTAAGCATCCAACTGAGAACCACTGGCATAAGGAAATTAGAACTTGTGGGGACCTTTGTTCTTTTACTGAGTTTCCCAGAGGTCACTGCTGAGTCCTGCCAAACAGCAGGCAGAGGGAGGGAGGAAGTGCGGGTGAGCTGGTGGATGATACCAACGTGAAAAACGGTAAGTAGCTTATCGGCTGTCACACCTCATACACACAATGTCCTCTGGGAGTCTTGGAGTTCTAGTCAGGCCAGGGTGGAAGATGCAGAAGGCCATGGAGTGCTTGTAGAAGAGGGACTTCAGTTTCGGCTACCTGGAGGGAGTCCAGTTTCAGGGTTGTCAGTCTAGCCATTGTCCCAAGCAGAAGACTCCCCCAGCCAAAGCAGCTCACAAAAGCAGTACAGAACCACCAGGCAACTGCGGAGTCACATACTCAGTGGCTCCGGGCATGTCATTTTTCCACTGGAGAGTTTTCTCTTTGAAGGGCTTTCCCCTGGCAAAGCATCCGTTTTTCTTCTGTTGCCAATAAAAATCCCCGGCGCTGTTCTTTCTCCTTCGCTTTCTTCTATTGCTTCTGACAGAGTTTGCCAGTTAGCTGAGGTCAGGATTTCCTTTTTACAAACAACCTGCTTTCAGTCAGTGGGGCCAAAGGTTTCCTAAATTACAAACCCTTTCATTTTTTCTGCTACAAGTTCCCCTGTCAGTTTGTATCACTGCACAGAATGGAGAGAAATGGAAACATGCTGAGAGACACCAAAAGAAAGAAGTACTTTCACTAAACTTCTCTTTTTGGACTGTCAAAAAGCTATCCAGAGCGGATGGACAGGACTATCCCAGCTGAGGCTTTTGTAGCTGCGTGTAGTGCGGGTACATTCCAGAGCCTGGAAGGAATTTTCTTCCAGGTCTTAAATGGACATACAGTAACCGTGGCATCACCTGTACATTCGATTAAGTAAATGGCTTCCTTTACATTCATTTGAATTGGGAAACAACCCTGTCATATTCAGATGTTTTGGAAAGCAAATTAAAAAGTTATTGCTAAATGTACGTGTATGTGACATTTATACACGCCGACTGGAAGACAAATTTTAAAACAAGCTCTGGAAGGATGACAGAATTGAGGTGCTTAGGTTTAAAGGAAAAAGCATTCACACACCACTGGGTATTTGTCCTCACTGTGGACAGGATGCCAAATACACCTCGGACACAGAGAGGGCTCCCGAGCTTACCATGGCCTGTGGTGGCAGAGCAAGTCACGCCAGCTCCACTGCCCTGAGAGCATATGATCTTTTCTTGATTCTGTATTGTAGCCAAGAGTCGGGTGGGGTCGTGACTCTGCCTTATTTGGTGTGTGACCTCTTGGGCAAAGCATTTAACCTGAGTTTTGTAGTCTGTAAAATAAAAGGGGCTCAACTAGACAGTACTTACACCTAACACTTAGAGTCAAGTGTAGTGTAGAATCATCTTCACAGTGAAGGGTGCCGGGCTGTGTGCGGATGCAGGGGCCTGTTCCTAGCCTCCTTTCTCTCTGTCCCATGAAGGGTGGGGTGCGGGGAGTCATGCTCATGTACAATGAAAGTGCTAAGCCTGAAGTTAGGACAGTTAAAGCACCTACACCTTCCCTGGTCTTCCCTTGCTGCACTTCTTCTTCCTCTAGGCCTCTCTCATGCTCTCCCCTCCTCCCCACTCTGCTCAGGTGGAGTGCAGCCTTCAGGTCTCAGCTCAGACATCAGTTCTTCAGGGATGCATTTCTTGCCTGCCCGGGCTGCCCATGCCAGCCCCCTCACGCCATCAGTGATGCTCACTGAAGCCTGTTTTATCATTGTGATTGATTCTTTTTAAATAGCCACCATCTAGTCCCCATGCTTGAGGTTGAACAGGACTGTCGTTTGCATCTTGTCTCCCAGCCCAGGATAGAATAATTCAGTGCCCTTACAAATGGCCTGTGTGGTCAAGGAACTGGGCCTTCAGTCAGGGGGAAAAAATGTATGTGAACACTTGGCCAGCAGAGCATAGTAATAGGCAATATTAAATAATATGTCAAGCACTGTCCCAAGCACTTTACACATATACTTTGCCCTCATAATAACTCTCTGAAGATGTTATTGTTGCCCCATTTTTACAGATGAGGAAATGAGGGCACAGAAGTTAAATAGCTCAGCCAGCTAAGTCATGGAAGCTGGGACCAGAGCCCAGGCAGCCCGCCTGCGGAGGCCAGGCTCTTCCCACTCGGCCTCATGGTCCACCGTGGTGGTGAGAGCTGCTCCTGTGGAGGTGTCCACATTCCTCTAGTACACCCATCCCACCCATTGGCAAGTCCTGTCACTGAACATAAGCCCAGATGTCCATCTCCCCGTCCAATTCTGAGTCTGGACATTGTTCACCTGGGCTAACAGCTTATTTTCCCACTTCTCTTGCCCACTACAGCCCCTTCTCTATCTGGCAGCCAGAAGGGTTGTTTCAAAGGGTCTAGCAGCTTGGGCCACAGCCCTGTGGAAGCCCCTTGGTGGCCTCCCATTCCATTTGGAATCGAGTCCAAAGCCTTGCCATGACCTCAGGGCTTTCCTAGGCTCCATTCCTTTCCTGAGTCATCTCTTTTTGGACTCATGGGCATGCTTTTCACTCCTAGCACACAATAAATAAAAGTATTCTCCCCTGAGGGCCTTTGCCTATACTCTCTGCCCCTGAACTCCACACGCTGCTTACTTGTTAGCATTTTATCTCAGTTCAAGCATCTTGGCTCTGTTCATCCCTTCCAAGGAAACTTTTACCCTGTCACTTACCCATATTCCCCATTTTAACTTTTCATAAACAACTTTCCAGAAACAACTTCCATTGTTTCTGAGTGAATGGATCTTATTCATTCATATACTTAAGTCCTTTCTTGTGTGTTCCTACCTGCTCCCATCAACACCATCCTCAGGATCGGGGACCGGCTCTCTTTAGCACCTAGAACAATGCCCCCATGGTGGGGACCCAGTGAGTATTGAAAGGAATAATAGGAATTGTCTGTGAGACTATGGACATTGGGTGGGAGACACTCAAGACAGGGAGCTCACACTGTGTGCCCTGATGGATAAGAAGGCTATGCTGGGGGGAGGGCACTGGAGCTGGACCTGCTTTGGATGGATTGAAGGTGGGGGATCATTGATAGTAATGGAAGTGCTCTAAGCAGAGATGAGACAGGGATGCCTATGGGCTATTGATCCATAAAAGGGCCCAGTGAATGTGGACTGAAGGTTCGCTCAGAACAGTAATGGGAGAATATGGGGAAGAAAGCAGACACTGTATTTTGAAAACTCTAGAATGCCAGGTAGAGAAATGTGGCTCTAATCTATCCTCAAAGAGGATCCTAAACATTTAGGCCAGGTGGTATTGTGTTAAAAGTGGTGCTTTACACAAATCATCTTTTGAGGGTATGCCCTCCATTTTGCCAATTTGCATACTATCTTTATCTGAGACCTAAAATCCTTCCACTGCCCACCCCCACCTCTTTAAAGGCTTTCCCCCAATTTCTGTTCTCCTTAAGGGTCTGAGCATGCACCTGCCTCTTGGCTCACTGCATACATGTGAAAACTACATTGTGGGCCTGATAAATGGATCAGACAACTGCATGCTGTGTTGTCATGTGTTTGTATGGATGGATGTGTGCTTCAGTGAAACCCCAGGAGGATGCGAGTTGCGCTCTTTCATAACCTCAGTGATTAACCTGGCCCACTTTTAGAGATAGATGTTGGAGATATAGGTAAGTCTGCTTCATATTGCTGTCCCTCGGGTACTTGAGTGGCTAAATCTATGCTGCCATTTGAGGTACTTAATGCTGAGTTCTGTTCCATAGTAGATAAATTTGAGTGAGGGTCCAGTTTCTAGAGTTTTGGAAAGACAAAAGAGCTTTTCCACTCATCTGTTTTTACAGTGATCAAAGAAACAGCTGTTTCCCTTCTAGATTATTGCCCTCAAGGACTGATAAAGCCATTACTAGAATTACTTCATACAACTTCCATTCATTGGATAATGAGCATTCTGATACAGCCAAGGTCCTGCCATTTCTTATAACCCAGAGATAAAGAAAACACTGACAATCAAGGAATTTACAGTACTTCACAAATCAATTTTATTAATTTAAACACAAAATTAATGAAGAAAAATTCTGTACACAATTGTGGACACAACACACCTTTACAGTAAGGCCAAGATAAACTTTGTCTTTTCAGTCTGCAGAGTACAAAAACATACAATGAAAAGGCTAAAAAATTGTCAAATTCTGTTTGCTTCAAGCAAAAAAAATTATTAAACAATTTGGAGAGAATTTTCAATTAATTCTAGCAGCAACATGAAACTTCAGAAAAAGAGTAGCTCTTTAGCTATTTTGGGTCAAAGCTGGTGTTTTTTTTTTCCCCAATATAATATTAAATTCATCCAAAAAGTAATTTCATGACAGTGGTAGGCTCTCTATGTGAAAGACACTGTGCCCAAAATAATCCCTTTTGGAGAAGCTGTTTTTATGGTACAACGAAGGAGGCAATTTTTATCTCCCAGGTTTGTCATGTGACATGTACGACAGGTGAAGAGTAACATTATTTCCTTGGTGATGATGACTGTGCCATGTCCCCTTCTAGCTATGAACTATCCTGGGAGGGTGGAGGGAGGGTGTGGAGGAAAACAGAGGAAACATGCATGGTGAGAGTAACGCAAAGTTTTGCTAATTTCCAGATATGTGGTCATGCCCTCCTGTACCTAAACAAGAAACTGTGGACACTATAATCTGAGCACATGAAAACTTCGCTGGTCTCTGATTCATGAACCATTTTATTAACAAAATATGTCTATCATCTACATTCTTTTTGTGGCAAGAAACATTTGAAGAGTCAGTTTTTCCAAGTAGTTACGTATAATACATTAGTGTTGAAAATGAAAAAGCGAGGTTCTAAGAGGACTTTTTATTCAAATGACTTAAGACACTGCTCAATTATTTTACCAAGGCCTTCCTAACAGCACACACACAAAAATGAGCCGATGGGGAAGTAAAATTTGGGAAACAAAATCCTATTGACACTTGACATCCATGCTTTTGGTCTTGACAACATTATCTAAAAAACAAACAAAAACCCATTATCTACATATTTATACCCAGTATACTTCGATAAGGCACTGCACATGAGTCTGTGCCCATATTGCCTCATACTTCACTATCAAGGCATTGCTACCTCTCAATATCATTTTCTAAACAATATGTAAAAGAATCATCCATTATTACAAATTTACACAAAAAATTCTTTCTGTACATGATTGTCTCAGTGATGTACATATTATATGTTTAAATTAGACATACTTTAAACTACTTCGCAATGTGCTAAAATTCAAAGTACTTGCTGTGTCATTAGGCCAAAGCCTTTAATTGCTTATTTCTTATGCTATCGTCTCTTTAGTTAGTTGATGCCCACAAAGTCTGTTCGAGTGAATTGAATGGTACTTGGATTATACCTCAATAAAGCTGTTTTTAAAAAAGTCTGTTCATAAATAAGTAGAGATGTACAGATTACCCTGGGTATGAGACACCGAAAAGTAAACCTTCTTTACAAGAAAATCCCCCACTGGTACTCAGGAAACATTTCAGTCTTGGTTGTGCAATCAAGTTTGCTGTTCTAGAGAAGCTGTTCACGTCACATTGAAGATGCTAAAACTGTAGGCGTCTGCAGGTCCTTTCTTCACAGGTTTGAACCATGTAGTTAATGTGGCAAAGACACATTATGCTGTGCTAGAACATTCTCATGGCTTATTTTCATCGGATTCACAGTACTAGTCTACAGCTGTTCTGAAGAGATGGACGTGGTCCTTCATTCACCACAAAGGCAGAGGTGAAGTCCGACAGCAGCTGTGCGTCACCATGTTGAAAGCCGTACGCTCGCCAGTCCGGCGCTGACAGGGACCCAGGCCTGCTGGATTTGTTCCTGGTCACAGGGCAGTTGTGCGGTTTCAAAGTGCTGTGTGGTGGTTACAGGTACTCCAGTTCCAAGGCGTGGTGGAGGGCCATGAGGTCTGAGTGACTGGAGATCCTCCAGAAGGGCATGGCGTGCTGGGGGAGGGGCAGACACAGTGAGGAGAGAGAAGGAGCCCAGCGTGAGCCCTGAAACCTGCCTTTGAAATCCACTACAGTGTTCACCCCCTTTGCTCAGTGCTGTAACCTGGCAGCTAAGTTCTTAACGTTGTATCTGTTTAAAACAAAAATCCAAACTTAATCCTCCCCTAAGAATATTGGACTGCATTTTAAAATGTGATCTGGACTTTGTTTAAGAAGGCGATGAGATTTCTTGAGTAGGTCTACACTGTGATTTGAACACCAGGTCCAAACCTTAAATAAAACACAGTAGCTAGGACTGAAACTTTGTCAAAAAGAGTGACCTTTGGAAATAAGTGTCCAGTGGATTTTTAATGCTTGAAAGTCTAAGCAGTTTTCCTTAGTTGGTAGTAGTTTACATTTTTCAAAACTTAATTTTCCTCATGAAAGAAGCAACTTTTCTCATTTATTACCATCAGACAGTCTTTGCATTGACCTTAAAATGGCTTTACCATATGGGACAACTTTAAATAAACATCTAAGGATTTTTTTGGTAATTGTTTAATCAATCAAAAACTCTTATTTAAATGATGGGAATGTTTGTAGAACACCTGAACTAACCAGAGACAAGAAAACAAAGAAAACAGTTTACTCCGTCCATTTAGGAAGAATACCTGATTATAAACTTCCACCGCTCAAAGGCACTATTGTGAGTACATGTGCATCAGCAAGTTCTTTTTCTTAAATGAGACAGAATTCTATTTATCTGGTTAAAAAAAAAACACATGTTTTTCTTTTTTCCCACCAAAAAATAATGTGAAGGCCTGGGTATAATTTGCAATTAATTATAGTTCTACAGAATTGTTTAAAAATTCAGACTAATAAAATCTGGCATGGAAGCAGACAGTGGACCTGAGGGGAATGGGGTGTTATCTGTAGGTAACAGTGGAACCTACTCACTATTTTGGAGTCAACCCCATAGCTGTTTTATTCTGGGAATGCAAACTATTAAATTTCTTATTAACAATGTCTTTGTCTCAAGTAACCTGCTAAAAGCATACACCATAGTCTAACATCAAATGTAGAACTTCCTGGACTCTGTTATCATTCAATAACAGAATAGTCCAGAAACAAGTACTAGAAATCTGTTTTCAAATTTTCAGGATGATCCCCTTGGCAGCCTTAGACTAGGAAAACAGACTGCACTATTTTGCATTCATCCATCATGAACAAATTTTTGAATTTGCAGGCAAGGCGTAGAAGATGTCCGTGGCCCACCCTGTCACAGCCTGTGGGTGAGTCGCAGAAATGTGCAGTGGTCATGAGTGTTCACCCATGAAGGATGGGGCCAAGTCCCTTTGCCTGGAGAACTGGGAGACACCTGATGAGAGGAGGTGACAGCTGAGCGAGGTATGAAAGGACACCCATTCAAAAGAGCTCATTAATGGCTGTTTGCATTGGGGGGTGGAGGGCAAAGGAGAAATTCATTGTTAGAATACTGGTTGTGCGTGCAAGAAATACATGGTTAGTGAGAGGATTGGCCATGGGAGCCAAATGATGCAGGGCCTTGTAAGCCCTATTAAGGAGTTTATTAAAGATCATGAGTTATGATTTTTGAGTGTGGTGTCAGGCACTGTCTTAGCACTAAACATAAACTCTCATTTAAGCCTCTCTATAACTTCGGAGATAGAATATGATTATCACTATTTTGCTGATGAAAACACTGAGCCTTAGGAAGCAGAGAGATGTAATTAACAATTGGTAAAAAGTAAACCCAAGATTCATACCAGGTCGGGTCTGTATCTGAAACCCATATACTGTAACGCCTCCTGTTGTCTGTGGCCTTTTTACTCAGCAATATAAACTATCAGTACAGCTTAAAACACACATTCCCTTCTGTGCTCTGTTTGGGAAGAGAGCCTGGCAAATCTGAGTGACTATGATACACAGATTGTGTTTGAAAAATGTTTGGTCAATTACAGAAAGCTTTCCTTCTTTTTCTCTCAGAATAGAAACTCATGTTTGTTGTAAAACATTTGTGATATGTAGAACTGCATAAAGAAATAGAAATCACTTCTAATCCTACCATCCACATAACTTTCGTAACTATTTTTCTACATTCCATAAATGTGCACACTCATATTTGGAATTGTGCATTTAAACACGAGGTGGTACAGGCACACCTCATTTTATTGCACTTCACAGATTTTGCATGTTTCACACATGGAAGGCAAGAGATTCGCTTTATGGCAGTGGTCTGGAACTGATCCCGCACTCTCTCCATGGTATGCCTGCATGTACTATTCAGCATCCTGTTCATTTTATGTCTTAATCTCAAGCTGATTTTTAATGCATCACTTTCAAGGAAAACCATTCACTTATTATTTTAAGAGTTTGCAAGTATTCACATGTACACAGTGTGCTTTTACATTTAACCATGCACTTGGTATCTATTTTAATATTCCTTGTGCTTTTCTAATTTTTGTAAATTTTTCTATAATTTTCCAGAGCTGCTTCCCATGAACACCTGAGTAGAGGGAGTTACAGAGTAGTTCTATGGCTCTTATGTACCAGGATGTAACAGAGGATGCCAAAAGTGCTGCAGAGAGCCAGCTAGAGAATTTCAGGACAACTGTTTTCATAAATACATATGGAATCATTTGTGAGAAGTGGAATGCTTTTTTCAGACTAGGTTTAGTCGAATACTTTTCCATGCCGACTATCTGAAGTTAGATTCGTTCCTCACAGACAATGATATAAATTTGAAAGTGACTGGTGAACTCAGAAGCATGTATGGTAGAATGCAATGAGTAGCAGATGAATTGAAAAGGGAACTGAAAAAAAATCCATCTAATTCTCTGGCACATGGTTAATGTGTGAACTGAGCATTTAATTCCACAGTAAGCGAAGAACCTGGACAATGGCTATGTGTCGTGTCTGTACAGCCATAGGAGGTGATGACAGCCTAGAGCACAATTACTTTAAACTGTGTTACTTTTAGACCATATTCAAAGCATGTTAGGGAAGCAGAGATTATCCACAAAGATCCACAAACTGCCTTGTTTACTGCTGCTGAGATCCTGTTGGTGTTAGTCTTCCCATATAGAGTATTAATAAAAACCACACGTGAAGCAGCATCCTGAGACAAGTTCAAATGATGAAATATGCCTGTGCTGTCTTGCAGACAAGTCCTCACAACAGTGATGATGGAGTCATTCATTTGAGCAGAAGTGTACGAGGTTCTACAGTGGTACATGGCGAACCTCAGGTGCATGTGGAAGAGAACAGGTGGCCTCTGTGGACACCTCCAACAGAAGGACAGCAACTCCACATAACATGAAGGGTAATGATCACTGCTATAATCAGAATTCTAGTCTCCAAATATTAGTGTTTCTTCTTCTCTAAAAAATGTACATTTACAATTAAGTGACTGATTATAAGCAGACTGACCTCAGGGGCTCAAACTTATGTTAAATAATTAGATTTAATATTGCAAAATATTTTTCCCTAAGTAGGTCCATATTGATGTGAAGATTTCATGGATCTACACAAGCTTCCCAGGACAAGTGGGTGCAAGGTAAGTTATTTTTTTCTGCATTAGTGTTTAGCCTGGAACAAATATTTCTTATATGAAGTCAGAGAGACAGGGTGGCAAAAGAGACGGGGGTAAAAAGAGACAGGTGCCAGAAGGAGGAGATGGCATTATACTCTCAAATCCAATGTTATGTGACTTTGAATTATGACGTAATCTCCTTGGAGCTTGTTTATTTACCTGTAAAATGGGGGTTTAGGAAAAATGACTAAGGGTTGTTTCTAGCTTTAATAAAGTCTATGACTTTATTAAAATAGCCTACTGCCTATGTAAGTACTGTAGCTACAGAAGATATAATGCATACATGATATATGACTTCACTGACAAGACATATCTGCTAAAACTACTTCTTCTAATGTAAGGCAGTGTGGGATTAAGAACCAAAACAAACTAGCCAGAGCAATCAGGCAAGAAATAAAAGGCATCAGAATTAGAAAAGAAGTAAAACTGTCTATTTTTATATATAGAAACCCCCCCAAAATCCCTATTGGGTCTAAATAATTCAATAATCAGTAGCATTTCTACAACAAATTATCTGAAAAACAACACAAATAAACAACAGAGACAACACAAATAAATGAAAATGTGTCCCATGTTAGTATTGTTAAAATGTTGATACTACCCAAACCCATTTATAGATTCAGTGTGATCCCTATGAAGGTTCCACAGACCTCAGCGTAAGACAGGAAACCATAAATCTATAAGAAAGCATAAGAATATAGCTGCTTGGCAATGATTTTTTTGATATGACACCTAAGCACAAGCAACAAATAAGAAACAAAGTAGGGCCCCATCAAGCTGAAAAGCTTCTGCACAGAAAAAGAAATCAACAAAACGAAAAGACAACCTACAGAACTGGAAAAATATTTGTAAACTATATATCTGATAACAGATTGATATCCACAATATATAATGAACTTGTACAACTCAATGGCAAAACAATAATCCAATTAAAAAATGGGCAGAGGACCTGAATAAACATTTTTCCAAAGAGGATTTACAGATGCCCAGTATGTACAGGAAAAGGTGCTCAACATCAGCATTCATCAGGGAAATGCAAATCAAAACCACGATGAGAAAACACCTCAGACCTGTCAGAACGGCTAGTATCAAAAAGACAAGAAATAACAAATGCTGGTGAGGATGTGGAGAAAAAAACCCCTGTGAAATCCCACAAATTCTTGGTGGGAATATAAATTGGTGCAGCCACTATGGAAAACAGTATGGCATTTCCTCAAAAAGTTAAAAATAAAACTAGCATATGACCCAGCAATTCCACTCCTGGTATATTTCCAAAGGAAATGAAAATGCTATGTTAAAGAGACAGCTATACACTCACATTCCTTAGCACTGTCTGCAACAGGCAAGACATGGAAAGAGGAGTCCACTGACAGATGAATGCATGAAGAAGTTGATATACAATATA